CCCCATCCCTGCATTCACACTCCCTGTCATCCTACCCATCCCTCCATTCACAGTCTCTGTCATCCCGCCCCATCCCTCCATTCACAGTCTCTGTCATCCCGCCCCATCCCTCCATTCACAGTCTCTGTCATCCCGCCCCATCTCTGCATTCACAGTCCCTGTCATCTCGCCCCACTCGTCACTGGCTACAAGCTTCATAAGGATGGGACTTTATTTTATTGACTGCTGTATCCTGAATACTTCCAGCAGATGGCCTCACGTGTAACAGGAATTCAATAAATATTTGTAGAATAAATGAATGAATATATGTAATTAATAAATATTTAATCTCAACTTCCAATTTTAATCTGCAGTGCTAGATACTGGTAAACATACGAGATCTGACCAGTAAGTTGGAAAACTCATCCTAGAAAAAGTGCTACATCCCTCATTGCTGAATATCACTACAGTCCCCTTTGAAGTCCTCCCCTTGGTCATCTGGTGACCATCGTGATATTTAGCAATGGGGTATGCAGCACTTTTTCTAGGATGAGTTTGCCAGTTTAATCGTCACACCTGGTACAATGGGTGACAGCTCTGATGGCCATTCCAGGAAGAGAGTTCCAAAATCGCTTTGAAGTGTGGACTAGGTGCTGGTATGGGTGCACAGCTCCCAAGGGGAATTCTTTGAAGGTGACCGTGGTGAGGTTCAACAGTGAGGGGTGTGGAGCACTTTCTCCAGGATGAGTTCACAAACGTAATTATCAGAGCAGTAAGGAGCGTCAGGCCCTGCTCTGGAGACTGTATGTTCAGTCATGTGATTCTCATACAGCCTTGCTGATTTTACTGATAGGCACACCAGGGCACAGGGACTGAATGACGTGCCCGATAGGGGACAGCTAGTAAGGTAGAGGGGAGAGTTAGACGTGGGAGGTTGGCTTCTGAGTCTTTGCTCCTGATCACTGTGCTGTCTCTCGTAGTTCTTGGTCATTTTTTAGTATTACATTTATGATTATTCCACTATTTCTTTATCCCTTATGCTGATGGACATTTAGTTTATCTTAAGGTGCTTACTGTTATAAACAGTACTGCAATTACTATTTTTATACTACTACATGTGAATATTTGTAAGACTTATGTAGAATTTTTGCATAGAGCAGAACAGATAGCTCGTACAGTACGAGCGTCTTAACCTTTTCTAAATATTCCCAAGTTGCTTTCTGCAGTGTTTCTGCCAATTCAGACTTTCTTCAGGAGTACAAATTCCACACCTTCATCAAGTTAGAATTTTCAGACTTTAATTGTCATCCTGAGGGTGAAGGAAGCCGTCTCTCACTGTGGTCCCTGCTGACGGAACGTCATTTTTCAGATAGTTACTAAGCATTCTGTTTTCCTTTCTGCAATTTCAATGTTCATATTTTTGTTTATTTTATTGTTACTGATTTTAAGAGATTTTAAATATGTATTATATGTTAATGACTTGTTAGTCATGGTCTTGCAAATATCTTACTACTTACCTTTATACTGTATAGTTTCTTTTGATGAATATAAGTTCTTAATTTTCACATAGGACATTTATCAGTTTGAAATAGAAAGCTATATTTTAAAATATATTTTGCTAAATACTTCTATATATAGCAGAAGGCTTCTAAACTTCCAGATAAATTTTAGAAACTATTTCCTTTATTCTAGTTCTCAATTCCAACAATTAGAAATATAAAGTACATTTATAGATATTATTTAATTTTATCATAGCTGAGTCACCAGTCATTTCGAGAAAAACAGTTACTTAGAGAAAATACTGAGTTTTCAATCTACCTGGCTTTTCGTCTTTTAGCAACCTAAAAAGAGTTCCCTGCAACTCTTGTAATAGTTTGAAGATTTTAATGAGAAAAGAACTAGCTGTTTATAAAAATTGTTCAATGATAATTTATAATTATTTAGTGATAGTATATAAATGAGATAAAATATGTACATAGTATTTAGCCAACAGGAAGTGCTGGATAGTTACAGATGTTATAATTATTATTTTTAAAATATAATTGACAAATTTGGACCTTTAAAAAATGAAAAATTTTCTGTTGCCCTTCTGATATTCTGTATGAAATCATACACCTAAAAAATAATGTTTTCTACAGTCCAAGTCTCATTGTCGGCTTCTGCTTTCTGATCCTTTGACTTGGGTCTCTGTCCAAAGTGATTTCTGTGTTTGCACCGTTCAGACTGCAGAACGTGCAGGGCGTGTTCATCCTGAACTGTTCAGACTGCAGAATGCACAGGG